GAGAGAGAGAGAGAGGAGACAGAGAAATACAAGAAAAGTAGAGAGGTGCACCTCTTCTCGAAGTGTCCGAAGAAGGAGGTGGCAGTTATAGAAAGGGGGAGGGGGACCTATGACACGTGACCAATGACTTATATAAAGGTGGCGAACGACAGGGCCCAAACACAGAGTTCTGTCTCTCAACGCAGCGGAGGCGGTGTCCTTAAAAGTGCCTGTAGAATTTTTTTCGTTAATTCTCCGTTCATCCCCGCGTCACATAGTCGACTTTTTCGTTGAACCATGAGGACGTACTACGTGATAGCCGCCATACTGATCGCCGGTACGTAAATAGAGACCAGCCACCATCGGGCAGGGTATAAGGGTGGTGAAGTTAAAAATGGGCCGCGGAAGATCGCGAGTGAGACGCGATACTCGGCGTTAAGAAAAGTGGAGATTTCATCGTCAGTGTGTGAAATATACGCGTGTGGTAGAGTAGAGCAGTGCGCCCTACGTGCCCTGCATCGAGGGCAGGATATAATGAGGAATCCTGCGCCAGAATCTCGCCGCATCAAAGGAACTTGATAATTCCTTGGAAACTCTTTTAAAATCGCGATCGCTTGATTCATGTTCGCGCAGTATCATGTGCAAGTTACAGATAACATTTCATCTCTCTCTCTCTCTCTCTCTCTGTCTCCTTCTTCCTCTTTTTCTTATATTCTTTCTATTGTAATCTTAAATTAAATCATTATTTATTAATTATTTTTATTTTATTTTCAAATATAATATTTAAATTGATAATGCTATCAAATATACGCATTTAGGAAAACAAATTTTATATATATGTTTAAAAATGTTTAAAAAATTATATTTAAATGTAATCTTTCAAATTAAAATAATATATTTTTTATTTAAAATTAAAACTTTTACATAATATTTTTTATTTACATATATAATTATACAATACATTGCATAGTTAATATGTTTCTTTTTTTACTTAAATGTTAAATGTTGTGTTTCTTAAATATGCAAGAAAAAGTCAATCAAGAAATAAAATACAAATATCATTTTTAATAATTATTTCCAATAACAAAATAATTATATTAAATTGCAATCACCATTGTACATAATGTTTACTCGCTCCTTTCTTTGTAAAATCAAATTAAAAAATATTTCTTAGACTAATATATATTACATCAATGTTTCTTAATATATTTTTATAAAATTACTTAAAATTTTTTCTTTATACATTAAAAAAATGTAATGTTTAGTATAAAAAAAGTCAATTAGTACTTGGTGAAATCGCACATTTTAATTGCTTTTAAGAACGATTAACTTCTTGGCATTATTAACCTTGCAACTATGTTAATTAAACGCCGTGGTAATTAAAAATTGCCAATGGCCTAAAAAATTTTCCACGCTTTCTTGCCACTGTGACATAACCTTGGCCCAGATCTTGACCCTCTTTTTTGTTCCTTCCTTGCCAAAGAGAGATTCAAGAATACGATTAATCGCAATAGAAATTATATTAAAATTTTCTGTAAATTAATATCAAATTCTCCATTTAACTTAATATATCAAGAATTTAAAAAGAGAAAAAAATTTTAATAAAAAAATATCATATAACATTGGTATATATAAAATTGAAAAAAATTAACAAAAAATACTCAAAGAAATTTATAATTTTAATATTTGACTTAATTATAAAATTATTAACATAAAATATCACAGATTTACAATATAAAAAATTAAGAATAGAATTTCTATATACAAGTTAATTAAATCAGATCATTACTAAGAAGAAACATATGCGCAATCTTTTAGTAAAAACAGGATATTTTAAAACAAAATCTTATTAAAATTTCATATATTAGAAATTTTCTTTTGTTGCATTTTGTATCAACGTATATCATAAAATATTTAATAACTGAATTGATTATTTCATATTATATATTAAGCTTCCATAATTTTTATAATGAAATTTTCATATCGTCGATATCGTGAAAAAAAGAAGAGAAAGAAAATAGAGAAAAAACATATAATAAAAAATTATTATTAAGATATAAGGAAAGTAAAATGACTTATGAAAATTTTTTGTTCAGATTTTTTTAAAACATATATTTCAAGCATCTTTAAATTTTTATCTTTGACGTTATTTTCTTGTTCAATATATTAAAGATCGAATAATTCTCAGTCAATTCTCGATCAATTCTCGATTTAATCGCAATTTTATTATATGCAAAAATTAATATATAATATATGCAAAAATATATTAATATGTAAATTGGTACTTTACATAACTATTGCATACTTTAAACAAGTAATTATATAACGACCTAATACCGCATATTTTACAAAACAAGTCAAACTGGGACGGGGTAAAGGGGGACCTTGTCTGCGGTCCCCTGACCGATGAATATTTCGAAGTCGCTTTCGGGACCGGTCCCGTGGAAAACGAAAGTGAATACTACTCCACGTAGCACATTCATATACAGACTCGTACTGAGGCTTGCGACGCGAACCGGGTGAACGGGATGCTGAGAAGGCCCAGTCACGAGCGGCTATGGCCGAGGCCTGGCCGCGGGCCCAAAGTGAAAGCGCCCGGCGAAAGTTACCGTCCCGCACAGCCCCTTACATAAGATATTTTAACTTATTCAGGCGTCATATGCTGCGTACGCGCGCGCGCCAAAGAAAGAAAGAGATATAATTAAATTAACACAGATCGGTATGTACGGCGAAAAAGCAACTCTGAAAGGGGTGGGGTCTTATCTATCCCCGATTTTATATTCTCTCATATCGTTACGGTTCTCGGCTGTGTACCAGCCATTTTTTCGCGATTGTTGCTGTTAAAAAGGGGAATGGAAAGAGAAAATCGGAATGAAAGCTCTCTCTCGAGAGCTGCGATCGGCAGTTAGCCATTTTAGCTTGCGATTTCCTACCAAGAACGGTATGGTATCGAACTAAAGGCGGGATCGTTTCTAATCGCGATTCGAAAAACTTGACTTGACTTGACGATCCGCGAATATGCAAGTAAAAGTAATACTCTTTTTGATTTGAGAATAAATTATTTCGTGTTCTTTTATTTCCATCAAGAAATCAAAAAGAGATTATTTTTTTCACCGTACTCTCACATTTAAAAAAAAATATGCTACACATTTTCAACTTATCTCCTTTACTTGCGGACATGTTGAAAACATGACGGACATGTTGCAACCGGAATCATAAACGTTGTTTCAAGAAAGAATCTTTTTTCTTTTTGAGATTTTTGATGAAAAGTATACTTATGATACAAACTACGATTTCTTTTTATTAAAATATTGATTGATTTAATATATCACAGAAGATCTCAAGGTTCCCATCGACTTACAATCTTTGCTTGATCATTTCAGGAACAAGCGGCCAGGAATCCTTCAAATGCCCAGACGATTTCGGGTTCTACCCCCATCACATATCGTGCGATAAATATTGGAAATGCGACAACAACGTGGCGGAATTGAAGACGTGCGGCAACGGTCTGGCGTTCGATGCCACTGATAACAAGTTCCTCACCGAGAACTGCGACTACCTGCACAACGTGAATTGCGGCGAACGCACGCAGCTCGAACCACCCATCAGCACGCCGCACTGCGCCCGCCTTTACGGTATCTTTCCCGACGAGAAGAAATGCGACGTCTTCTGGAATTGTTGGAACGGCGAGGCGTCCCGCTACCAGTGCAGCCCCGGATTGGCCTACGACCGTGAGGCCAGGGTGTGCATGTGGGCCGATCAGGTACCCGAGTGCAGAAATGAAGGTATGATCACAAGTCCATCGCATGCAAATTGCATAATCGATTTCTTCCAGATCAAGAACGTCAGGACAGTTCAGATAAGAAAAGAATTCGAGCTAGAATAATATTTAAATGTATTCCATTTATCAAAAATCTGAACACTATCTCTTTCATTCTTTAAATTAAAAGTGACGAAATAAATAAGAAAAATTTCAGAAATATTTTATTGATATAATACAAAAGAAATATAAATTGTATAAGCTTATTTGTTTTGTTGCTTTTAATTTAATCCGAAGAAATAGTGTGTGCTCAGACTTTCACAGACAGGTAGTGTATTATTCGCTAAAAGATATATATAATTATTATTTATTTTATATGTATATAAAAAAATTCTATCGTTATATAATAATTATGTTATCTAAAAATTCCCCCTAGAATTTCATAATCTAAAGTTTCCTTGATTATAGAAGAACTAATCGAAATTGATAGTTGCGACTTCTCTTTTTAATGTAACTGATTATAACGATTATAACGTAGACTCATGATTTCTGATCCAATCATCCAGGAACTCGTCACGGGCGATTTGACGCGGATAATAGGATATACATAGAATGTACAGTCACAATCTCGCCTCTCTATTCTGAGACATACAACTGTCACAAATCCTTCTATTTCCTTTCCACTCACTTCCTTTCTACGTTACACACCACAATAAATTGCGATTTTATATTCCTAATACATCCCACTGCCACTGCTAATCCCACCAAGATTTTCTTAATTTTTTTCTCAAATCTAACTTCGTTTTTTTTACCGTTTTTTAAGTAACTATTACGTTAAAAAATCTCAAACATATCTCTTTATCTCATATATACAATTTTACATTCTCATATCTCGTATTTCTCATTCGCCAACTCAAGACCGATTAATATCGCAATTATGAAGAAACACGATGCCTTTCTCTATCTCTTTATCACTTTACGTTATATATCTGTTTATTGCGTTACGCAGAGGTCGCCGGAGGTTTTACGTGTCCGGCTGCAGGCGAAGTGAGCGGCGCATCCGGCAGCTTCAGCAGACACGCCCATCCGGAGGACTGCAGAAAGTACTACATATGCCTTGAGGGCATCGCCAGGGAATACGGCTGCCCGATCGGCACTGTTTTCAAAATCGGTGACGCTGACGGAAGCGGCGCTTGCGAGGACCCGGAGGATGTTCCTGGATGGTGAGCATCGTCTTTAATACATCTTTAATACACGAAATCTTCAATACACGATCGTTCAGAGTTGCTATATCTTCACTTATGCAGGAAAGGATAAATTGCACAATTAATTAATAATTGCATAATTAAATTATTAAACTTTTAAAACAATAGAAAAAGAAGGCAATTGCAATAAAAATCTTGGGATTTTAAGAAAATGTGCAATAAGAACTTTTATATTTTCTTGATTTTCTTGATTTTAAAAATCAAATTTTTCTCTTCAAAACCGAAAAGAAGTTAATGTTTTACTATGCAAAATTAATTAATCTTTCAATTAATCAATTCTGTGTGTTATTAAATCGTTTCCTGAAAAATTTTCTATATTATTTCTTTATATTAAAATTTTTTTTTAATATTGTTTATTATTTTAAATTAACGGAATAACATATTATTAAAGAAATACGTGTTATGAGATATCAACGAAAGTGCAAAAGCAATAATAACACTGACGATGCATTAGATAACAAATAATTGTAGGCTCATTATAAAAATCTGAATTCGATTATCTTGATAATTACAGCTGAAACTTCCTTAAATAAAGTGTTAGTGTAGTTGTGTTTAAGAACTTTCGGGAAGAGATTGTATTTGTGGACGATCTATAATTAAGATATTCGCGTTACAGCATTCTTACGCGATAGTTAATGACATTTTGCGTAACTGCCGTAAAAAATAATATATAAATGAGAATTTGATGCAATTCAAATCGTGTACTTTTAAAGATTGAAGAATCGCATTGTAAATGCGTCACGTTCAATTGTAAAAACGAATTTTTTTCTCGAATATCAAACATTATTCTGACTTAACAAATATTTATATCTGTTATTTAGTATCATTATTATTAATAATTATATTTCTTAATGATCTTCTAACATACTAGTGCTAATGTATATGTTAACTGTCTCATCGTTCTAATATCTTGTTATAATATTAGCCGTTCCCATTCGTAGATTGCCCAGAAAAGCATAATTTAGAATTATTCCTTGTTACATAAATTTAAAGGATACATATTAAATCAAAATTGAACTCTAATTGCTTGGCAATCTACGTGGCGAATTGTAGAAATGCTGCATACTTAATCGTGAAAATTTGCACACACGTACATCTAAAAAAAAAAAAGGCAAAAAAAATCTTTCCCCCTCAATGCCTTAGAAGAAACTTTGCGATACTTTGTGATCGCAATCTGCAAATTTTTCTGACTAAGTGCAAATACAGCCCCTCTATGTGTATGCATGTGCATTTCGCCCGCAAGCATAACGCAAGAGCACGCCGCAGCACACAGTAGCGCGCACCAAGCATGTCCTGACCTTCGGGTTTTTCTCGGTTTCTGTTCCGCAGTGAGGATTACTACGGTGACCTGGACCTGAAGAGCATCCGGAAGAGTGAGCTGCTCGCCGGTATTCAGAACGAACCCAGAAAGCCGAACCAGGCAGCCCTCAAACCT